GATTACGGTATTTTTGTTAATATTATTAAAATTGTTAATAATTATTTAAAATACATGAACAAGAGAAAATTATAATGGATTTGTAAAAAACTATTTAAAATATTATTATTATTATTATTATTATTATTATTATTATTATTATTATTATTATGTATACCGAGTGTAATGGTTGGAGATTCGTTTATAAATAAAAACAAATTTTTTTGTTTTTGTTTTTTAGTTTATTTTAATGTAATAATGTTTTTGTTTTTTGTTTTTGTCGTGTTGTTTCAATGGTATAAAAAAATGTAACATATATATATATTTTAATTTTATTTTATTAACCGGATGTTATTTAAAACGTCGGGTTTTCCACGATAATAATAATAATAATTAAATAATTTCTCTTTATGGTTAATAATTATATATATATAGAAAAAACTAGTCCACGTGTTAAAAAAAAAAAAAAAATGAATGAAAAAAATTCTTGTGAATTATGTTTAATAATAATAATAATAAAAAGTTTAAAAAAAAAAAAAAAAAAAAAATAGTTATCAATTAAAATAATAATAATAATAATAAATTGTGATTAAAAACGTTAAATTTAAAATAAATCCAATTTATAATTTCTATTATTATTATATTTGGTATGTCTTATTAAAAATAAAATTTAAAAAAAAAAAAAAAAAAATTTTTTGACGTGAAACATAACAAAAAATTAATTTTATTAATGATAATAATAATAATAATAATAATAATAATAATAATAATAATAATAATAATAATAGGAAAAAGTTTCATTAAGTGCAATTGAAATATAAAAAAAACAATTTATTTAAATAATTTTCTTTTTTTTTTTTTTTTAATGTCATTTTTATTTTATTTTTATTTATGTCAAATTAAATAATAATATGTATTATTGACACAGTGGCTTGGTAGATTTTTTTCTGGAATAATAAAACAATGATAATAATAATTATTATTATTATTATTTATATATAAATTAATTGATAAAAAAAAAAAAAAACGAAATTGGTTTCTACTGGCCTACATGTCGATACTAAAATTTAAAAAAAAAAATGAAATTTAAAATTATATTAAATAAATTATTTCCATTTCTTAAATAAATTGCTCAATTATCTCAAATACTATATATAATATAAATATACATATTATTATTAATTATCATTGTTTTTCGTTCGCAGTTTTATATAAACCGTACTGAAACGGTAAATATAAAAAAAAAAAAAAATTGCACAAAAGGTTTTATCATTATAATAAAATTGTTAACATTATTATTATCACTTCTGTGCCATTTGTAATGTTGACACGTGTTAATAATAATAATAAAAATAATAATTTTTAATTAAATCCCGGATTTTAATTTTTTTTTTTTTTTTTTTTATGTTTTATTTAGGTCATCATTAACAAAAAAAAAAAAAAAATTATATTTAATGTAAACGTTTAAATAAAAGTAGTTAAATTATTATTATTATTATTATTATTATTATTATTACTAATATATATATATAACAATTGAAAAATAAAAAAAAGGTTTTTTATTATTTAAATTTGTGCAATATTTTTTTTTTTTTTTGTAAAAAAAAAAGTTACTTAAACATGAGAGGAACATTTAACACTCTGTATATGTAATGTACTCGATTCATTGATTTATTATTTATAAAAAAAAAAAAAAAAAACGATGATAAATAATAATAATAATAATAATTAGGACCTATTATTCATTTTAAACTTTTCTTTATACACACAAATTAATTTTTTTGTTTGAAATTTTACATATATGTATATGTTTTAATAATTGGGATAAACTTTTTAATTTAAATTAGGAAAAAACTTGAAAAACCAGTAAAACGAGCCTATTAATCCGTCAAGTACAAGACAAAAAAAATAAAAAATTTAATGCAATAATATTTTGGTTATTAATAATTAAAATATTATTATTATTATTATTATTATAATTACAAAAGTTAAAAAAAAATTGTATGTATCCTTTTACACAAAAGTGTAACACAAAAAATAAAAATATTAAATTAGTTTTAGGTATTAAATTTAGAATGAAGAACAATTGACACACACACAACGCGGAATATATTTTATTTTAATTTTAATTTCAATAAATTATACATAATTTTATTAATTTATTAAAAAATAATTCCGTTCGAATTAAAGTTATTAAAAAAAAAAAAAAAAAAGGATTTAAAACTAAAAAAAAAATGTGTATTTCATGCCAAAAAAATTCTTTATTAAACAAAATTATTATACATACAATTATTAATTAATAGACGAAAAAAAAAAAAAATCACCAAATTTCATTATTATTATTATTATTATTTTTTTTTAAAATAAATTTAATAAATGCTGTTACAAAGGCAGCTCATTTAAGCAATTTTTAAACACTCTATCATTATAAATTTAAATTTAAAAAAAAAAAAAAAAAAAACTACATAAATCCGTGATTAAATACAAAAAGTCTTTTTTTATTTTGTAAAATTGAATACAATTTCATTTGATTTTTAAAATAAAATAAAAAATAATAATAATAATAATTAGAAAAAGTATAAAAATACATATTAAAATCCAATTAAAACATACACCAGGCTAAAAACTAATAATATATATTTGCACTGTCGATAATAATATTAATAAAAATGACTACAAAAGCAATTTTTCTACTCATCTATAATAATAATAATAAAATTATTAAAAATTGTTCCATCATCAAATATCTAAAATTGTAAGAAAAAAAAAAAAAAATTTAAATAATGACATCATAAATTACAGATATATAACTTTAAATGTAATAATAATAATAATAATAATAATACGTGAATAATATTAAAAATTAAATTTAAATATATAAAAAATTTTTAATTTATGAAATACAAGAATAATAATTTTAAAATACTAAATGTGCTAAATTTAAACATTTTTTTTTTTTTATTAAGAATATAATCAATTTTAAATTTTCGCGGCACTTATCTTTCTTTTCTTTTTTTTTTGACGCGACGTAATAATTCATAAATAATAATAATAATAATAATAATAAAAAAAGTTCTTAAAGATTTTTGTACATGGAATAAATTTTAATAATATCTATATAAAATAATTATTAAATAAATTATGGCAAGAATGTAATGACTAATTTTTTTTTTTTTTAAGAAGAAACTTATCTTAATTGAAATTATTATGTTTTGTTATTTATAATAGTTTTTTTTAAAAAAAAAAAAAAAATTTTATGTCAAACTTTAATGTTATTAATTGATTTTGATAAAAAGTAGTACTACGTAAATTAATAATTATTGATAAAAAGAAAATTTCATTGACTTTAGTTAGATATATAGTATGACTTAAAAGCAAGTATTCAAAACATATGGAGGCTTTTTTTTTTTTTTTTTTTTGAAAAACACTGAATAAATGTTAAAATGTCTTATTTCTATTTTGTAGCTTCAGGAGGACAATCTGGTTGATTTGAAGGATGAGCAGCACGAAATGCAGGATGATTTTCTAATTCCCTGTCAATTCTAAGAATTATTGGAAATGGTCGCAAATCAACATGAAATCTGAAAAATTTTAAGTACGTTTTTGTGAAATTTAAAAAAAAAAAATATTTTTTATTTCAGAATTAAAAAAATTTTTTTTTTACCTCCTGGCATTGAAGACCTGTGGAACAAGACAGCAATCAGCAAGAGTAACTTCATCTCCAACACAATATTTTCCAGCACTGGCAGAAAGGAGTTTTTCAACAGCCCTAAATCCCCTATTGATCCAATGCTGAGCCCATTCTTTTTTCTTTTCCTCTCCTACATAAATAAGAACAATCAAATTCTGTAGAGGTTGTATTCCGGATGCAATTACTTCACATATTTCTCGAACTTTGGCACGTTTAGCAACATCAGCTGGCATTAACGGACGACCTGGTCTTGTTTCTTCAAGGTAATGCATAATACTTAACTAAAATAAAATAAAAACTTATTAAGGTTTGTATTTACTAATACATAATTAAATTCCATTTATTTTAAAGTCAGGACTCATCTTGAAGTAAAAGCAATTGTCAAGAAATAAAAAACCTGTTTCTTTCATTTTAATAAAATAAACATAAAATAATTTCAAAAAACTAGTTGACCTTTATCTTGGAAAAATGAACCTTTACTCACTGATTCTACAAAAGTGTGGCCATCAATCTGCAGAGCTGGCACTTGCTCCATTGGATTAATTTCTCTATATTCATTGGAGTGCTGTTCTCCACCAGATTTAATAAGAGATACTGGCTTAATATCATAGGGAATTTCTTTTAAATTTAATGCTATTCTTACTCTCCATGAGCATGAACTTCTCCAATATGAATATAATACTGGCTGCAAAAAAAAAAAAAAAAAAAAATTGTTTTTTATGAAAGAAAAACTTACAAGCTCTCAAAGTTATTTCGTGAATTGCAACATCAACTAATTAAAAATATTAAATGATTTTCCTTTGATTAAAATCCCTGAATACAACTCAAAATTTTTTAATTTCTCACCTTTCCTATAACTGACATTTCGGGCGACAGAACGCTACTCTTCCTCCTCTAAGAACCGAATCACCGATACAAATATAATCCGCGCAATATCATTGACACGTTCTAGAGCCACGATATACGTTAAAGTTATCATCAGGATACGCATTACATAACCTTCTTCAAAAAGTTTAGTTTGATTGACTTGAGATCAACGATCATTTCTAAAATTTAGGACAGAATGGTAAGTAAAGTTTTTTTTATTTTTGAAAATTCCGTTGCGCGAGGTGTCTTTATTAATTAAATTTTTGTACTTTAGATAACTATCATTATTAATTCACTTAAAATTCGGACTTTAAGATAAAATGAATGAACTCAATCAGCTACCTAAGGCAGAATTATATTGCTATTTTGGTATTTGGATCTGTGGAATTGCAATATCTCTCTATCGGTTATTTCTTGTGGGGCTAGGTATTTTTTGACAGTGTATTTTTTTCTTTTTAGTTTTTAATTTTTATCTTATAATTTTTAAATTTATTGGTTTTTTATTTACATTTTTTTTGATGTGCAAATTTACTCCAAAGTTTTATTTCAACTGGTGCTACATATCTTTTTGAAACCCTAAACAAATAATATTTTTTATTTGTAGACAGCAAATTATATAACAATTTCTAAACTTTCGCGGCAATTGTCACTAGGATTTACATAAATTTTTTTTTTTTAAAAGGCCTTAAGTAAATTGTTCTCATAAACAGACAAAGTTTTTCAAAGTTATTTCTTAAAAATACTATGAACTGTGATATGGGCAAAATGCTTGGCAATTCAAAAATGATCAAACCAAAAAAAACTTGTATTAATTGATAATAATTGTTCTTTATTATTCAGAACATTGATTTCTTTTTCCAGCTGAACTTTAAATTAAATTAAATTAGCAAATAATATTTTCTTAATAATAACAAAAAGTACAGTGAAAAATATAGGTCTATGAAAGTGATTTCTTATTAACAAAATTTTTTATACTAATTTCTGTAATAACTTTTATTGTTAATTAAATTATTTGTTTATTTAACTTGAATAATTTTAATCTTGACTTACTTTTTTATTTCTTTTGTTAAAAATAAACTAACCAATTTTCACAAATTAATATAATAATTTTTCGTACTCTTTGAATTCTTATAAGTTACTTCTTTTTTTTTTTTTAATTTTTATTTTTTTATAAAATATAGTCATCACTTCAATTAAATATCTTAGTTGAAATTGTATACAAATGCAAGTTATATTTATGGGTTGTACACAATTTTTTACTTAATTTTAAAAATTTTTAAATAGGATCAAACATTCATCATGTTAAGATATGGATTATATGTAAAATGATGTTTATTTATTGTTTCTTTACTATTTTTTACTCGTTAAATTATTAAAATTATTTTTACTAACAATTAAATATTTTTTATATTTAAAGCAATTTATTAAGAAAATTAATTTATGTAGTGCTGTAAAACTGCCTTTAATTATACAGGAAAAGGTAAAAAAATATGTTACAAATAATTTTTTAATTGTGTTATGTAAAAATTATCCCTTGAAATTTGATTAATAAAATTTTCATCTACTTCAACTTGTAAATTGTAAGGGTTGAGAAAATGATGTGTACAAAAATCTATTGATAATTGCTAATGGAAATATGAATAACATTCATAATTGACATCATCTTCATATTGTGAAAACCCAGTGTGGTAAATAATAAGTATATGTGGGATTTTTTAAATTTTTATTAAAATACTTTTCCTATTTTCATTTTTTTGTTACTAAATATTGTTTGCTTTTATTTATATTTTAATTAATTTTAAGTAATATTGAATTATTTCAGTGTTTGATCATAGTCACCACGATCAGTATCACTATGAAGATTTTAAAAAAGGTTGGTCAATTTTGGGAAGATATCAAGACCAATCTGATTATGAATGGAATGCATGGTCCTCGTTAACATTAAATTTAACTCCATTTCTAGCTATCAATTTCTTCATTTCAGAGTTACTTAAATATAAAAAGTTTTCCTATGCCATACCATTGTGGCATACTTTTATTACCACATTTTTTTTGATATTTCAGTATAATTTATATTTAACTTTGTGGTTTTTCTGTCAAACCTTAGTCTATTTTTTTGTAATTTGTTATACAAATCATTTTTTTGTTTGGATTTTAAGTTTTGTAATAATTCACTATTTAAAGCCCGATTTGTGGTTTATAAGTAATGAAGAAGATCAATATGTAATAATGGTATCATCATCTTGGTTAGTTTTAAGATGCATTAGTTTTTCATATGAAAAATTAAGTGTGTCTCCTCCAGAAAAAAAGAAACATGCCACATTATCCAGTTTTTTATCACTATTAGATTATGCATTTTATTTACCTACCATGTTTTGCGGTCCTTTTATTTCATATTCAAGTTTTAGAGAAGATGGAAAAATAGAAAACAAATGGACAAAAAATAGGATTTATTTAATTTTAAAAAAATTTTTCAAGTGCCTGTTTTGGTATTATTTTACAATATTTGCACTACATTTTATATATGTTAATGCAATTCTTCTTCGACCGGAAGTAAGTAAAGTTTTAATTAAAATTATTAAATATTTGTAAATTTTATTTTAAATATTTTTTTAACATTTTTAGTTTATTCAACATCTTTTGGATTGGGAATTGGCTGGTTTAGGGATTGCAATGGGACATTTTTTCCATTTAAAATATATAGTTTTTTATGGAATTCCTTGTGCATGGGCTTCAGCAGAAGGATTTTTAACACCTAAACTTCCATGTTGTGTTTCAACCGTTCATTTGTATTCTTACATGTGGAGAAGGTTCGATCAAGGACTTTATTTATTTCTTGTCAGGTTATTATTTAAATTTTACATATATATATATTTTAAAAGCAAAAATCATTAGTAGATTATATATATATAAATCATTTTATAATTAATGAAAATTATTAAATTTATCAAGTTAGAAAGTTTTTATTATTAATACCTGAAAAATTATAAAATAAAAATTTTCTTTTTTCCAGGTACATTTATACTCCGATTATACAGGGTATGAAAAGCGACTTATTATTGAAAAAAGTAATTGCATCCATGGCTTGTTTTACATTTATGTTTATTTGGCACAAAGAACAAGAATATGTTTTTTATTGGGTTTTATTCAATTTTGTCGCCATATTAATAGAATTAATAGCAAAGAAAATTTTGACCATTTCAAAATTGCAATCATTTAGAGAGAAAAACATGAGCAAAAATAATCAAATAAGATTTCAATGTTTTCTTTCGGCTCCATTACATTGTTTTTCTATGATTTCAAATTATTTTTTCATCGGAAATGGCGTCGAAATAGGATTTTTATATTTGAAGAGAGTTTATTACGGTAAGTTTATTTTATTTATTTATTTTTAATATCTCCCGGTTTTTTCTTAAACACACTTTTTAAATGTCTTCATTAACAGTTTTAACAATTAAAAAGAATTAAATTGAATTTCAATTTTATAATTAAATCACACACAATTTAAAAAAATAAATTATTAAAAAAAGGCCGTTTGAATTTTAAAGAAAAAAAAATTTTATTTTAGGTTCTTTATTAACAAAGCTAACAATATTATTTTTTTTATACGGAGCAAGTCATAGTGCGAATGAAATACAAAAAAGACAAAATTTAAAAGAAAAAAAAAAAATTTTATAATTTTTCAAATAAAAATCCTTTTGCGATTATGACAAAAAAAAAAAAAAATTTTTTTTTTTTTTTTTTAAAAAGTTAAATTTAATAATATCCTTTTTTAAAATGAAATAATTTTTTTATAGGAGTTGGTATGTGATTAACATTTTATTTTTTATTCGGATATTTTTTAAGGATAATAATATTTAAATTAAAAAATTCAAATTTTAAATTTTACTGTAATTTTTTTTTTTTTTATTTAAATTTTTTTTTTTTTTTTTTTTTTTTAGTTTTTTAATTTTTAAAAATATATATTTACTAACGGAAAAAATATTAAATTAACTTTATATATATATATATTTACATATAAATATATGTAAAAAGTAACTATTTTATTTATGAGTTTTTTTATGCAAATGGTTCGTTTTTAATAACAATAACAGTGGGTTCGCTATTTGAATTTGCATAAAAATCCGTTTCCGATGAGCATTGAGTGGAAAATGGAGAATTATTTTCCGTTCTGAATTTTTGAGCTCTCCCAACTTCAACAACCTTAAAACCCAAATTAATCTCTTGATTTGAATCATCATTATCATCGTTATTTGTGTTTACCAAAACCGTTTCTCCATCTTCTAACGTTGCCAAATATAATCCACTTCCGGTAAGAGGATCTTCTGTTTCTATGATGATCGTTTCTTCGTCGCTTGAATTAAGGTTTTTATTTTGCAATATGTATTTAGATTGAATTTCTTCTTTTGATTGAGCTTGAAGTTTTTTTTCTCTTTCCGCTTTTTCTAACCTTACAGCTTCTTTGACTATTTCTTCATATGCTGCATTAGAATTACAATTACCTGTCATATCATTTTCATCCGTAATAAAATCTACCGGCATTTCATCGATATCCAGCGAATTTTCTTTGGAAAATGAATCGTAATTGGTTTCGTGTGAATTAACAATCTAAAATGTAACAAAATTAAAATTAATTTCCTTTTAAAATTTCACGTTTTTTTTTTTTTTTGTACCTCTAATTGATGCAATGCTTGAATATCCTCGTCAATTGTATCCATTGTGCTTTCATCGTAAAGAATATTTTCTTGTTCGTATTCTTCGCTCATTGAATTCATTTTTCTAGGCCTTCCTCTTTTCACAGATGCTATTGTTTGACGGGGAACCGTGCGAACCATTTGAAATTCATCTTCTGATAAAATTATTAGGCCACCGGATGTAGTTAAAACTTTACCATGTCTTGTTCTTAAATGCCTTTTGTAGGTATTTCTCGTTTTAAATCTAAAATAAATAAATATCTTTTTCCACAACCAGGATTTTTATTCAATTTATACCAATATTTTTTCAACTTTTTTTTTTTTTTGTTTTTTTATCATCTATACTTTTTATTTTAAATATATAAAATTATTACTGGTAAATAATAATAATAATAACCTCATCAAGCAATCTGAGCATTCGAAAGGGGATTCCCCCGTGTGTCGCCGCCTGTGCTCTTTAAAATGAGAAGGATGCCTGAATTTTCTACCACAGTCTTGGCAAGTGAAACGTGTTTGGTTTGTATGTATTAGCATATGATAATTCAAGCTGTGCTGACGAGTAAAAACCGCATTACAAATTCTGCATTCGTATGGCTTGATACCTGCATGACTTCTATAATGACTGATTAGGGTGGTTGGGGCTGTGAATGCACGGGGTGGCTGACAAATTGTACATTGAAGTGTATCTAATCCTCCCCCGCCAGTTTTTTTCCGTATAGCTTCTATTGCTTCCAAAGCTCTTTCCTAAATTGAAATTTAAAGTTATAATTAAGTTTTTAAAAAAAATCAATTTTGTTTTTTTTCCCCTCCTTTTAATAAATACTTTAAAACCGAAAGGAAAAAAATGGCTTAATAATAATGGCGATAATAACAATACTTTTACTTCATTTCTTAAATTCTAAGATATATGAGTGCAATGCATTATTATTTTTTTTTTTTTATCTTCTGTTTTAAAAATGAATTAATTTTTTGACTGTAAATAGTTATATGATATGATAAGATAGGATGTTATGATTTGAATCATTTTTTAACAAAAAAAAAAACTCATAAAAATTTTTAATGTTTTTACCTTTTCTATTTTTGATTGACCAATGAATTTGGCTTTTCCCTTTGGCTTCCTTGCCTGTTGAAATTCATCTCGTTCGATATTTATTCCGTGATTTAATTCCCAAAGAGCAGAAGGATCCAAATAAGCAGTTGGTGGAGGCCTAGAGTCCGTTCTATTGTTAGCAATTACTGGAAGATCACTTGATCGAATAATATTATATTCCAGCTTTGACCGATTTTCATCACTTGCCGTGCTTTCAACATCAATTTGTTGACCCACAGGGGGTAAATGTTTCAAAACTACACTGTTCCCTTCCAAAACACATACCATAACAGTATCTTTTGTTTCAATATCCATAAAATGCCTTAATTCTTCCGATGGATGAAAAACTTCAACTTCGGATATTTCTTCACTTTTTTCTTCGGATTTTAAAATGCTGGAACGATCGACTTTTATTGGTTTCTCTGAAGTAAAATAACCATGTTCTCCCATAACCCCTGGTACCCCCATTTTTTCGCTTAATCCAGCAATTAGTTTATTTAAATCTAAGGCTGCGCTATTTTCAGCAATTGCATTTAAATCCACTGGAGTAGTTTCTTCGGTAACCATTTCAACTTCGACCTAAAAATTATTAATTACTTTTAAATTACTTGAGTTTATAACATTTTTTTTTTTTTTACCCATAAATTTTTAATATCTGTTCATTGTTGATTTATATAAATAGTTATAACGAACCGAAAAATAATGGGACAAAATACAAATCTAAACGGATTTTTTTTTTTTTTTTTTTTTGATATATATTCATTAGTTATTATAAATCCATGCATGTGAAATTTTTTTTGTATGTAAGTATAGGCTTATAGTGTAAAACAGACAAAACCTTTGTTTTAAATTACAAATTTATAAATTTTTATATAAAAAATTAAGCATAAATATTTTAGTATAACATGTGTGTGTGTGTATATATATATACATAGATTTCTACGCGTACAAAGTTGTTTACATATTTATTTATTTATTTTTTTTTTTTACGCCTTTATTCAATTTTATTAATATTTTTTACTTTCATTTTTTTTTTAAAATAAAAAAACTAATTGTTACTAATTAAAAAAAAAAATTACGCCATTAAATTAACATTTCATAGAAATCTTGCTGAAATTATATATTTATAAACGTGTTGGTGTGTGTTATTTTGATAATTTGAAAAATTTTTTTAAAAATTTATTGACTTTTTCAGAAATAAGTTTTTTTTTAAAACTAACCTTCGATAAAAAAATCAAATTTTATACCAACGTCATATAAATATTAAACCTTTTAATAAAATAATACACTAATAAATTAACTTTAACTTATTTAGCATTCCAATTATCTAAATAATAATAATAATTTAAAACAGCAAAAAAATTTTTTTTTTTTTAATATTATCTTGTTTTTGCTTCCAAACAAATTATTAAAAATTAAAACTATTCTAAAATAATGGAATAAAAACACAGTGAAACAAGTTTGTTTCAATTTTTTTTTATCTTAATGAATGAAAAAAATTTTTTATATTTTAATAAAGGTATTCATTTATTCTATCAAATTTTTTTTTTTTTTTTTTTTGGTAAAATGATGCAATTTAATTTTAGGCAAAATTAAATATAATCAAACAATAGATATAAATATGACCTTTATCCAGTTTTTAATTGAAAAATGGCCATATCGTTCGTTATAACTGATTAACTTTTATACACAATTACAATAATAATAATAATAATAATAATTGGAAATACGGCAAATAAAAAACAAAATGACAATTAATCGTCATCGAATTACATTAAAAAAATTATTATTTTTTTAATTTTTTTTATTTAGGACTAGTTAGTACGGAGGAGATTTTAATAAAAAAATTATAACATAATTGTTTTGTTTAAACATCAAAAATACATCACTTATTAAGCCTACCTTTGGGTTCCTTTCTTCAAACAGGAATCCAGTTTGCTAGAAAAAGATTAGTAAAAATTAAAGATGTATTTTCAAAACTCTTTTTGTTAATTAATATTTTTTAAAATGAGTTAATAAATTTTTAAATTTTGTAATTGTGATTCAAAGTATACTAATTCAAAATTAGATTTTTTAATTTTTTTTTTTTTTTTTTGAGTATCTAGTTTTCAAAGTAAGTTTTGATAATTTATATAATTTTTTAATGTGACTTTTTTTTTTAGAATAAAAGATAAAACAAACAGTAATTTTCATATTACTTTTTAAAAAAATCTTAAATATTTATTTAAACCTGTAACTGATAAAATGAAATAAAGAACAGAGGGCTAAAGACCAGTCAAATTTAAAATTTTTTTAAGTATATATGAAATAAAATTTGAATTAAAATGAAAGAAGAAGAAACTTGAAAATTTCTCATTAACAATATTCTTTACAAATGATTGCACTTACCTTTGTATCAGATGCAGTTACCATATTTAAATCGGTTATTACATATTCTTCATCCCATTTTATTTTAGGTCTTTTAACAAGTTTATCACTTTCTCCTAATTCATCATCAGTTTCACATTTGATTTCTTCAAAAATTTTCTTTTTTATGCTTGTATTAGAATTTTTTCTCTTAGGTGACTTTTTGATTTGTTTGGTATCGTTAACCTTTAGTGTTTCCAAATGCACAAATAAATGTTTTTTGAATTTTTCTTTTGCTATACTTTCATTTCCAAAACTTATAAATTTAGCATCACAATCTTGATCGAAACAACAATGAAAAGAGTACAATTTTTTTATTTCATCAAACTCTGTTGTTGAAAAAAATTTTATAAGTTGATTTGTGGACAGGGATTTAACTTCTGAAACTGTTAAAGAACAATCTTGATCACTCTTTCTTAAATCATATGGTTTTCGTTTCATGGGTGAAAATAAAAGTTTTTGTGATGCAACTTCAGCCAACATATCCAATAAAGCACCAGAGTCAGCTCTTGATCTGGCACATGATGGTTTGTTGGAATGTTCTTTTAAATTTTCCTGTTTATCTGATGAGTTAGAGTGTAAAGGAGAAGGCGGATGACTAAATTCAATATCTATATCATCTCCACTTACAGTATCTTCTGATCCTGCAATGGTATGAAAATAACATAGCCTGTATTTTATTTTTAAGCAATAATAATATATTTACTGATAATAAATTAATGTACTTATTAGTGCAAGAATAAAAATAAATGTGTCTAATATTAAATGCTATACAAAGCAGAAACCTTTTGGTACAAAGATTAAAAATAAAATTTTGATTCTTATTAATTAAACAGTTTTTTTTTGTATTTAGTGCCATTTTATTTTATCAGACAAAGTTTAGGCAAGAATAATATTTACGTATTTCCTAAAGAAAAATTTGTCTGAAGCTTAATATTATTTTCAAATTCAATACACTTATTTTGGTGACAAATCATTTAAACAATTCAAAAGAAAAAATGAAGAAATTAGAATAATCCCAGTAAATGATTAAAGCAAATTGCATGAGAATTGTGACGTCACAAAATGAAATATTTATAACATGAATCAAGAATATGTTAATTTATATAACAAATTGATTAAAATAGTAAAATAAAAAAATAGAAATAGTAAATAGTATATAGAATTTTTAATCGGCAAAATATGTTAGGTCTGCTTCAAAATTTAAAATTATTTTTTTATATTCAAACAAAACATAGGCGCGCAAAAGCCAGCAGACGCTATGCACGAGGACGCTAGCAGTCGACATTTAGCAATTCACCAACTAGTCTCTAAGTCGTAACTATAAGTAACATAAGAAGTTAATAAAAACAAAATATTTATTGCTATAATATTTTAATAAACTCACCGCATACTTCTTCAGCACAAATTTCAGGATAATCATGAAATACCTTTGCTGTCATTTTTTCTACTGTGAAAATCACTGACCAATAAAATTCTTTTGTTTTCAGGGCCTTCTTTAAAAAAATTTTTTTTTTTATAAAAAGGCTGTGAACCTATTTTGCTATGTGAATAGGAAATTCGTAATAATCCGTTTTAATTATTAGATTTTTTAAAAAAATGATTACTTTAACCATCAATTTATCATCTCCTGCTGTTGGTAAGTTTTTATTTTTATCATTATTAGTATCATATTTTTATAAAATAGAGTTTTTTTCTGTTTTTTTGTTTTTCATTTTTTTCCGCAGTATGCGGTAAAATTTTAACATACGTTTCTTGCTGTCAAAAAATTTGAGTACTACATTCTTTTCCAAAAAAGTTTTAAAATAATTTTTTATACATTACATATTTTTATGGTTTATA